TTATATTAGATATCCGTAATGCAACAAGTATAGACTTAAATATAAAATTTTGTATAACTTTTTAGAAAGTTATTTTTTTCACTGTTTAACTGACTAGAGATATATAAATGTAAATGAGCAACAGGCAACTTCATACTGCCCAAAAGAACAACAAAGTTCTCACGGTTTTCTATTTCCTACCGGGGTCCGTACCTATATAACAAAATCATATCTAAAAATATAGAATATAAAATATTAAATAATGCTGCCAACTTGAAAAATAAATTAGAATATCGACATTAAACTTAACATTAAAATTTGTACTAAAATATTTATGTGTGTTTACTGACTATATATTGTTTAACCACTTTTAACTATATATAAAAATAAAATAGGCTTTATTTAACCATTTAAAGAGGTACTCGATGATAAGTCTTCATAGACTTTTACGAGTTTTCCTTTACAACAACATGTATATATCTGAAGTACCAAAAATTTCTTGCTTTTTATTTTTTTTTTTTTTTTTTTTATTTTATTTTTTTTAAAAATGGTAACTTTAATGATAAGAAACACTATTAATTTACGGTAACTTTAATGATAAGAAACACTATTAATTTACGCTATACTTAGTTATACTTGTTAAACCAATTTTTATTATGCTATGTTATACGTGGTATTATTATCTTATATTTTTACGTGGGATTATATTATGTCATGTAGTTATAACGTAACGATGTGTAAATTTATTAAAATTGTAAAAAAAAAAAAAAATCTGACCTTTGAGTTATTAGGTAAAAAAAATACAAAGCAAATAAAAGGAAGCGTTGGGATTTCTGTATTTTTCTACAAACAATTGTCCGGAAATAAATCTCAGTGACCGTGACATAGTGGATAAAGTGCTGACTTTGAAACCAAAGGATCCGTTTGTTTAACGCCTACTCTGGTGGTTTTGTATGAATTAATTACAATACTTATAATTAATTTATACAAAAGCAAACTTAAAAGGAAAAAAGAAACATTTAAAATGGTGCACAAATTGAGAAATTTGTGCACCATTTTAAAAGTTTTATTTTACAAAATATTAGTTATAATATAAATTGGCATTACATAGCATAGATGAAACTAGTGTACGTAAATGGTGGATATTAAAAAAACGTCTTTTGAGTAATACCCAGTGGGACCTAAAAAAGACGTTTTTGAACGTTCAAAAAACGTTTAAAAAACGTATTTTTTACGTCTTGTGCCTACTGAGTATGCAATAATTTGCTTTGTGCATCTAAGCTTTAGTATCCTAAAATCCAGAAATTTTAACAGCTGCATTAAACATTTTTTTTTTTAATTAAATTAATTTTTAATGTAATTGAAAAGTCTTCTATTTTTTAAATTGTCAAAAAAAATTTAATGTTAAAAATTTTTAATTTTTGAATTACTCATGTAATTGAAAAGTTTTCTATTTTTTAAATTGTCAAAAAAAATTTAATGTTAAAAATTTTTCCTTTAAAAATAGTTTCTTTAATAATCTTTAATACTTTAATAATAATCTATAATTTATTATACTATTATAGAATTATAGTTTTTTTTATATAATTTGTTATCTTGCAGCCGTGGCGCAGTGGTTAGAGTTCTGGCTCAGAACCCATCTTATAGTTTTTTTATTGTTTGGCTCAAAAGAAGGTAAAATTAGTTATCTATTTAAAACTTTTTAAAATTTATAAATGTGAGTAGTAAACAGGGCTGTGAAGTTGAAGTCATGGAGTCGCGGCATTTTTAACGGAGTTGGAGTCGCTAAACAAAATTGCCACCGACTCTAATGGTAAAACCTGACTCTAATGGTAAAACCTCTTGGTATTGCACGTGTATCTAAATGTAAAATATTCAATTAACCTTAAATTTGTATTAAACTTTTAAAGAACTCTTCATAAATTTGGCAATAAAAAAATTTATTATTGTTGCGAAATATTTTTTAAAGTATTCTATTTTTTTATTTTTTTTTTAGTATTTCAAAAATTTTGCTTTGGAGTCGGAGTCGGAGTCGTACTCTGAAAATTTCAACGATTGTAGTCGGAGTCAGTCCTTTTTTTTTACTAAATAAAATTATACTGTTTTGTAATATATTATACCGACTCCACACCCCTGGTAATAAAGCAAAAAAAATTTTGGAGTAAAGAAAAATTTTAAAATTTTTAAAAGTTTTTAATTTTAAAAAGTTTTTATTCAATTTTTTATCCAACAAGATGATAAATTTTTTTTAAAAAACATGGATGTTTTTTTTTTTTAAAAAATAAGAAGTTTTAAAAAAACAAAAAAAAAATTTTTTTTCGGTTCCTTAAAAAGTTCTCTTATTAAAACAATTTATATGTCTTGTTGTAAGTCAAATATACAATAGTTACCGCTCATTTAGCTGGAAAGTTTCCGGTTCCTTAAAGAGTTCTCTTATTAAAACAGTTTATATGTCTTGTTGTAAGTCAAATATACAATAGTTACCGCTCATTAAGCTGGAAAGTAGTAGTTTAAGTTGAATAGTTGAACTTACTTATCCAGATGAACTTGCATTCCCAGCTAAACGGTTGAACAATTTTCATAAAACATTATTGTAATAGCCTAACCCTTTTTTTTAAATGTTGGTTTAATATCTTTTTTTTAAAATGTTGGTTTAATACCCTTTTTTTAAAATGTTGGTTTAATATCTTTATAAGAAGTAAAAATTAAAATTATAAGTTTTAAAACAGAATAATTTTAAAAAAATTAAGAAAAGTTAACCATTCAAACACAAAGTTTATAAAACAAAATTAGCAGTGACCTACTTTGTTGTTAAACTAAGATTAATTATGGAGTAATGTCTTGTGTATATACCTATTGTGTATATACCTACATAATGTAATGTATTCACCTATGGAGTAAGATATTGACTAGGTTTTTGATTTGTAAACATTCATAGAATGCTTAATCAACCAACTCAAACTCACTTTTACTGACATATCTTGAAGAAAATACTTTTTATTATATTTATATAATTGATACATGACAGAGCTAAAATTTTAGCTCTGTCATGTATCAATTGTTTTTAAAAACAAAATAGCATAGCAATTTTAATATTGCTGGCGGTTTTTCAATTTCGAAACTTTGAGAATATAATAAATAAAATGTGTTGTTTGATTATTAATAAAAAATAGAAAGAATAACAAATATTGGCTAAATTTTTAGACAATTAAATTTCCTACAAATTACACAATACCTGAAAGTATCATGTCAACGCTACTGATTCACATCATATAACTTCATATCTTAATTAGATGGTAATATAAATTATCTGATCACATTATTCGCAATTCATCATGTCAAAGTCTTAAGTTTATATCTAATATGGACTAAAACACTTTTCAAAAAGCAAAGAGTGCGGTAAAATTGTTAAACTTTATTTCAACATATCGCTTTATCTCAACAGTATTATATCAACAGCTTTATCTCAACAGCTTTATCTCATCAGCATTATCTCAACAGCATTAATTATTATATTATTAAACTTTTTTAATTTTTTAATTAAAATTGAATTTTTAAAATTAGATAATTAATTGTTTAATTTTTTTTTTTTTTTAAATGAACATCGAATTTTATTATTTCTAGGGTTTTATTGGTTTGATTGTCTATTATTTTTATATTTAAAAGAACTTTTCAGTTTATTTTAATGACTATGTCTAAAATTATATTAATATATTTACTTTATTGATTTAATGGAAATATTTATGAAAGCTTTTATTTTTTTTTAATTATATTAGAATTGTGTGCATAATATTTTAACAATCTGATTTTATTATTAACTTGTAAAGCTCATATAGGAGTTCTATGAAAAGATTGTAGTGTCTTTAGTCATCCACATCTTCTTTGAACTCCTGTTTATTTTTTATAAATCTACTTTTTTTTATTTAAACGTTTCTTTTTAATTATATTTCTTATTGTATGAACAGAAAATATGTATAATTAAAAAATATTTTTATAAATAAATTTTAGTAAGCACTAGATAATCGGTATCGTCCAACTAGATGTCAGGAGGGATAATCGATATCATTAGTATTTATTCAACGCCATAGATACCAAATAATAAAAAGTTTTGTATGGTATCAACTTGTTGCATAAACTAACTTGGTACTGATAAGAAAAAAAAAATGCGAGTTTACGAACTTACTATTAAAAAAATCCATTCAACATTAAATATTCTGTTGAATACAGAATGTTTGATGTTGAACACAAAATGTTTAATGTTGAACGCATAATGTTTAATGTTAAACACCGCATGTTTAATGTTAAACACAGAATGTTTAATGTTAAACGTAAAATGTTTAATGTTGAATACAAAATGGCGGAAATTACTTTGCAAGATTTACTTAAAACAACAATACCATATAAGAAATTAGCATTAAAAGATAAGTATGACTTCAAACGGTCCTCATACACAATCCTTGAAGTTTTAAGTATACTATATTTGAGCTAATTATGTCACTCAGTTTTTACATAATTATATCACTCAGTTTTTACATAATTATATCACTCAGTTTTTACATAATTATATCACTCAGTTTTTACATAATTTACTATTTTAAAATACTAATCGTTTATAAAAAAAAAATTCTTGTGAAGAATAAAGCTGTGATACCGAATGATATAATTGTACCGACAAAATATAATACCAATATAATCAATAACTTTCGCGTGATATAAAGTATATATACTGTATTTATATATGTATACATATATATATATATATATATATATATATATATATATATATATATATATATATATATATATATATATATATATATATATATATATATATATATATATATATATATATATATATATATATATATATATATATATATATATATATATATATATGTATATATATGCTGCAAGGTATTGTATTGATATCAGATAATACCCGAGATTTGATACCGATTATTTTGAGCTTAAACTATTGATATATGGAAAATCATCGCTTATTCAATTTTTTGTTTATATAGATTTTTGTGGCAGCATTTTACCTAAGACAACTTCTTAATAGCAAAATTTTGAAAGACCTTAAATAAGAATGCTCAACTTTAAAGATATAGCACAAATTACCGTGGAAGCAATACAAGAAACAAATGAAGTTACTAATAGTATGTTTTAATATAAAATTCTTTTTTTTTTTTAACTAACTTGGTATCCGTTCCTTAAAATTCTAGTTGTTTGATATTTCCTTCTAAATATAATATGCTACAACACACTGTTTTTTTTTAAACTTAAATTAGTAATACTAAATATAAATTAAAGAGAATATATATATGTGTGTGTGTATGTGTATGTATGAAATTTTTTACTCAATCTCTCCTATAAATTGTATAAGGAAAATTAATATATTATTTAAATAAATAATATTTTGAGATCTCCTCAGGCTCCGACAAGAGCCTAAAATCAGCCCGGATATTTTAAAAACGTAGCCCTCTTACTTTCCACAACGCGTTGCTACGACAAGTTATAAGCGGAAAACATCTTTTAATGATCTAAAGTAAACTTTTGCCGCTGATATCACGAAACGCTTTTCTATAAGTTTCTTGTATTTATTGTTTATTGCTTAAGTACTAAATGCGATGTTTAATAAGTTTCATCTCAATTTGGATTTATTAGTAGATGACATTTTTCAGGAGGTTATCAAGTCTTGTACCTAGCGCCAAATAGTTTGCTTATGCTTAGAGGCATAGATGAGTAAATAATTCGTTTGATAAAAAGTAGATTTTTAAATTTTGATTGTGTAGAGTTTGTTTTTTTTCTCTCGCGGTTGTTTTAGGATTGCCATTTAACTTGTAGGTTTATTTGTCAATTTTGTTCAGAACTATTAATCAATTTTGCTATTTATTTAAGTGTTGCGATCAAGTAACTCTAGATAAATTTGTTGAAAACAATCTAAGATTAAATAAATTTTTAATCAAATTGATGTATCTATCTTTGTTGTCAATTTATTACGGATTTAAAACTAATTTTCAGAGAGTCGTCCTAAGTAAAACAGCTAAAGGTCCAAGGTGCAATTAAAAAGAAGGTTTTTGTATTCAGGACAACTAATTTTTACACCCTTCTACATGACGGACTTTTATAATTTAAGTTATTATACCAATATTAATACAAAGTAATTAGTATAGAGATAAGATTACATCAACTTTACCATTTTTAAATAAGTCTGGCCTTGAATTTGAGCATTGAAAAATCCGGCTTTAGGTATACGAACTTGCTCTACATGTACATAAATATACGTAAAAAGCTGTTTCATAAATTATAATGTTATTTTAGTATTTTAGCTTTTAATGATTTTTAAAGAATCATACTAATTTTTGTCATTTTATCAACTAAGTTGGTAACCTTAACCCTGACTAAGTTCATAACTCTGTTTAGTTAGTACCCCATTTACAGATGCGCTTTAAACAGATTGGTCACACTTAGTTAAAGTTAATTAAAGAATTCAACTTTCTAAATAATACTTCTTATTTCACATTTTTACAGCACCCCAGTACACTAAATTGTAGATTTTGATGCAACAAACTCATACCAATTCAATATATTTCGCAATATCGATAAATTCATACTGATAAAATAAAAAATTACTTAAAAAGGTTTTATTTAATCCATCACACGCAAAATCCTCAAAACTCTTCTCACAAGAAATAACTCTGACAGATTCTTATTAAAAACTAATTGTTCAGAAATACTTAAGTATTTTTTGTGATGTAATTGAAAACCTTTTTGTAATTAATAAAAATGGTACATCTCCCACTTACCATTTTAAATAGTGTAATACTCTAAATACAACATAAAATTAAAGTTGTAAAATTCAATATTATGCTATGCAATTTAAAATAAATATTTATAAATAAAAATAAATCAATAAACAAATTACTAAATATCACTAATAAAAACACTCAAGAAATTTATTAATTTTAAATCTATAAGGTAAACCAAGAACGTATTAATAGATGGACGTTTACACGGTGAATTTTTTTGATTTTCTCCCACTTGCAAGTGATTGCACAGTGGGCCAGAAATTTTTTTCCGTGGCCAAAAGTCCCAAAAAAGTCAAATCTTCTAAACTTTTTTTTTATTTTATTATTGAAACATAAGTGCTTTACTATACTCAAAAATGTAGCCGTTTAATTACTAGAGATGAAGGCAAGCTTGCTAGAACCATAATGGCTTTAAAATTGTCGAATTTTTGGAAATTTTTTTTTTCAAAAATACTTATCCTCAAATTTATATAACTTTTTTCAATTAAAAAAGCTTTGGACTTTTTTTATTTTAAGTAAACATTTTAACTTAGTGCTAATAAATTTCCTCGTCTTCCTTTTTCTAAATGCCACTCGAAGATTGTATGATTTTCTGATTTTTGCATTTACTAAACGGCAGTTATTGTTCAAAAATAAAACCAGCTGCGACCATGTATTCTTTATGATATATTTTTTAGTTCAAAATCGATGCTTTTATAAAAAGAACAATTTAAAGTTAAGATATTTGTTTAAGGAACATAGTTTTTTTTTAATTTTTTAATTTTATTAAACACATCGAACCGTTTTTGTTTAAAATAAACTTTTTTTTATTACTTTAATGTTTTCTAAAAATGAAAAAAAATGACTAGCTGCTAACTATAATTTAGACTTAAAATCGATTTTGAAATTTCAAGATTTTAGGCTAATTTAATTCTTACTTTACAAAGTATTGTGACGTGAAAAAAAATATTTGTCTGGAATTTTGAAGTTTATATGATACTATGATTATATGAAGACTAATTAGTTGATAATTGCAGCAATTTGATTGCAATTATTTTCCGAAAGTAATAAATATATTTGAATAAATTTACACTCAGTTATAGATATTTAAATTTTCTCTTGAAGTAGCATTATTAAAACTCTTATCTCAAGTTTATAAAATCTTATAAAAATGTTTAATAACATAACTCGACTATAAGTATTTGAAAAAATTAAATACACTATTTCATCACAACTTACGTCAAGACAAATCGTAGATCAGTATATTAGTATGCTCAAAAACGAATTAAATGTATCCATCAATTTAAGTGATAGTTTTAGTCGTTTTGAAAAAGCTCTTCTCGAATTTGTATGCAAATGCCGATCAAAACTTAGCAAAAAATATTTTTGAAATAAGAGCAAATTTTTAAGTGGCGAGTCATTTTGGCTTAACTATAAAGTTTTGTCTTTAATTAATCAGCAACCTAGCGAACAATCATCACAAACCGTCGATTTAGACCATGTAAAAATACGAAGATATGTCCTACCGAAGTAAACGTCGTCACGCATCCATATTGTTAGTAAATCATGATCATGGTAAAATTTTACAAGCAGCAGAAATGGGGTTAAAAAAGAAAAAGCGATATAGTTCGCTGAACGTTTTAAAAGAATGTTTATCAAATTTAGATTCGGCAAATGAAATAAAATGCTTTATTCAGGACAAAAACAAGCAAATCGTACTTAATACGCCACTAGAGGGATTAGCATTAATGACAACTATAAATTAATTGAAGACGCAATATCAAGTTATGCGAAATAAGTCAATTAAATGTAATACGAATATATATCCTACATATAGCAAAATTCGCGACGAAAAATAAAAGTGTTATCCTGATGGTATTTATATAGCTGAAAATGGAATGAGAGGCGAAGTTCCACTGAAAGAATTGTTATACCATACAGTCCATCGAATGTTGCAAATAACTACTGTTAAAAACAGAATATCGCAACTTGATTCCCTTGAATCCTGTTTAGGAATGACTTTGTATTGCAAATTGGGCTTCGATGGTGCAAGTAGCCAAAAACAAAAATTTTCCGTCCAAATAAACAACAATGATGAGTGTAATGTTTTAATGTCTGATCAAAACTTGTTTTCTACTTGTCTAGTGCCACTTAAGTTATCGTATGGTGTTATGACAATTTGGGAAAATCAAGTGCCTTCTTCAACGCGATTCTGCCGCCCACTAATAATTCAGTATATTGCTGAAAACCCTTTAGTTTTAAGAGAAGATAAAAAATACTTTGATAAGCAAACCGATCTGCTTGAGGAGAGTGCAATGATTATTTATGTAGAAATAATGAAACCAGCTAAAAAGAAGCTTGTAATTGAAGTAAGCTTCAATCTTAAGCTTACAATGATTGATGGAAAAGCAGTAAATGCAATTTGTGACAATAAATTGGTTCAAATTTGTAATATTTGCAAATGTACTCCTAGATCGATGAACAACTTAGATAAAGGTCTGATCCGTTCAACGGATTTGCAAAGCTTAGAATTTGGGTTATCGTCATTACATGCATGGGTTCGATGTTTCGAGTGTATTCTACATATAAGTTATAGGCTTAATATTAAAGAAGGGAAAATACGTGGACCTGAAAATATTAAATTAGCAGCTGTAAAAAAAAAGTTTGTTCAGCGTGAGTTTGCAAAAATTGGCTTTATTGTTGACATTCCTCTCCAAGACGGATCTGGGACATCAAATGATGGCAATACTGTTTGTCGTACCTTACGTCAGAAAGCAGAGTTTTCGCGATTAACAGGTGTCAAGAAAGATTTAATCTACAGGCTATACATTATTCTATCTGTCATTAATTTAAATAAAAAAATTAACTTAGCCAATTATGAAACATATTGTTGGGAAACTGCAAATACTTTTGTTCGAGAGTACTCATGGTTTTACATGCCAGCCTTAGTACACAGACTACTCATTCATAGTAGTCTGACTATAACTAGATTGATAATACCAATTGGCATGTACTCTAAAGAAGCAATCGAAGCTCCGAATGAAGACAATAAAAATATTCGTTTACAGCACACTCGTAAATTTGATCGAAAAGCTACAATGACGGACCAATTCAATTATTTAATGCTTTCGAGTGACCCAATTCTTTCATCTCTAAATTATGCAAGATCGAAATGTAAACATAAAAAAATGAACCTAGATGGAGACGCAGTTGGTCTTCTTTTTCAAGAAACTGCAAAGGTAAATACAAACGATGCTAATGATGATATTTATGCGGATGAAGATTATAATAAGTTGGATGAAGATGATGATTTCGATGATAGAAATGAGGAACTAAAACCAATACGCATAAATGAAATAAGAAATTTA